CAATCATATCATTGATGATCATAACCATACGTTTATGTCTTACCATTAAATCAATTGGACCGCTTGTTGAATTTGCCAAAAATAAGGCAATTAGTTCATGCTCTGCGCTCGAACTTACTGCGTCGGCAGTAGTGTCACTTCCGCATATTATGGCAGGTGGATTAAATCGAGCAACGGTTGATAGTGTTAACCTTGCGATTAAAGGATTAGAAAAAACGATAGATTTATCGATAGTCGCAATAGAAGGTATTATCGTTTGGTTGATTCATGTATACAAACGGACATATCTATGTCTTTTGGAATTTGCAGTAAGGGGATCGATTGGCGTATTATCAGAATCTGTCAAAGTATTAGGTGAATCAGCCAATGAAATGATAAGTGGAATTAAATCCGGGTTAGATAATGAAATATCAGGAATTAGTTCAACACTTGACGATTTAAGAAATTCAATTGGGGCCATAGGAGTAAATATACCAACTATTAATTTATCAACCGAACCTTTGGCTAATTTTCAATTACCAACGACCAACATTGTTGAAGGAATTGACGCATTAAATGAAAATCTTCCAACAATGGATGAAATTGAAACGAAAATTTCAGCATTAGCATCAGTTCCGTTTAATGAATTAAGAGGAATTGTTAAAGATGCTGTTTCAAATATTCAATTCAATCAAAGTGTTTTACCCACACCGCCAAAAAATCAAGTAAAATTTTGTGCAGATAATTTAAACCTTGATATTTTTGATGAGGTATCAAATGAGCTGATTAAAGGAGTGTATATCGGCATTGGAATTCTCATAACAATAATTCTATTAATGATCGTATTTAATATGGTGATTATTTGGCTTAAAAACAAAAATTCTGGTTTTAGATTAATTAGAATGGAAGATGTTTTCATATGGATTACAAATGGATCAAAGATTTTTAAAAACAATGAAAATAAAGATTTGTATATTTGGTTCTGGCATTACATCCTTCACAAACCGGCATTGATCTGTTTATTGATAGGAATAACTGGTGTATTAGGAATTTATTTACAAATTTTTATTCTTAATACAGTCAAACAGGTTAATAAACAAACAATCGTTGATTCGATTAATGAATTTAGTAATTCTATCGCAAATTTAATTGATTCGCAATTAGTTTCGACTTCGAAACAATTTTCAAACGATAGTAACACCGCAATCCTTTCCTTAGAGAATGATTTGAATCAGAATTTATTCGGATGGGTCAATACGACAACGACTACGTTAAATAATACGCTAAATGTCGCGGTAGATGAAATTTCGACCTTTGTTCAAAATACTTTTAGCGGGGTACCAATATTATTAACAGCCGTAAATCAATTAGTTGATTGTTTAATTTTAAATAAAATAGAAGGAATCCAAACCGGACTAAATTTTATTAGCGAAAACGCTTTCATTGGTTTACCGCGCGTAAATGAAGCCGTCTTGTCGGATTTTAATAGTGGTATGAATGATTTTGTGGTTGGTCAAGCTACAAATGAACTTGTTGGTAGTAAAGATGGTGAAATTGGTGGTGAAATAGGGAAAATATTTGACGCATATGAAGAGACCTTACGGTCAGAATTAATCTTATTTTGGTGTTTGATTTCTGTTTGGTTCATTGTTATCTTCATGGCCTTGATTGGTGTGTTGTGGGAGCTATTTCAACGTAGGAGAAGAAACAAAATTAATATTAGAGATGGTGCTGATACAAAAACGAATCCTAAGCCTGATTTCTCTCAAAGAGACATTATTAACCCTCTTCCAGCTCGACCTCGACCTCCTTTACCACCCAAACCAATCAAAAAAAATGACAGTGACAGTGATTTATGTTGATTTTTAATATTTTTTCTTTTTTTTTTTTAAAAAAGAAAAATTGTATATATTTATAATTGTTTTTTTATTTAAAATAAAATACTACTCGTGTAACTTTTATGATCGATCAAATCCTAGTTAAATTTTCTGTTATCTATCTGATTACTGTATATTACATATGTTATATATGTAATCAACGACACTTTTACATATTTTACGGAACTCGGATTCGGGTTCAGGCTCGGCTTGGATAGGCTTGGAATCATCAAAGCTCATACCTAATTTTTCTTTTGTTAAATTATCACTAATTTCATAAACTCGCTCAACGGGAGTTCTAACTTCATTCAATTTATCTAATTTAATTAATTCATATTGTTCTCTAACAAATTCTGTGATATCTTCAATTCCAATTATCCATTCATTAGAATATTTTTGCAATATATTGTTTTTTATACCAAGTTGTATTGCCCTTCTTTGCATCTTTTCTCCAAGTAAATCATGGTCTGGATCCCATTGTAGTCTTACTTGTGATTTTTCTAATTGTTCTTTCCATTCCTCTTGTAAAGTGGAGGATTCATCGGATCGTGATTTGGAGGATT